GCCAGTAGAAATATAACAAAATCTGCTAACAGATTTGTTGCAACATCTTAATAAATTTGTTACTAATCCAGTTAGCACATCGCAAATAGTTTGCTTATAGGATAAGAAATATTCTATATACAAGTTCTAAAATTTCCAGATATTCTTTTACTGCCAGATTCTATAAAAGATTCTAAAACAAAAACTTTTATACACAAATAATAATTTTTAAAGGAAGCATTTAAAGTTGATCAACTAGCTTATAGAAAATTTACGCGCTTAAATATGATAACTCATACAGTTGTGAAAATGATTTTACACATTGATTTAGTTTTTAGATATTGACATAATTCTATATGTAATGATAAGAAAATTATTTCTAATTTTTGTTTGATACTCGTGATTACTTAATTTACTATATATAAAGATTAATAAGATAAGATAATGATATTGTGGAATCAAATCGAACAATTAAAACTATCAAATGTATCACAAGTATGCAAATAAATACAGATGAGTATAAAAATATCTTCACTGCTATGGCTGCAAACAGATTGATTAATTTTAAATGATTTTCCTTTAAAAATTATAGGCTCAATATTTTTGTATAAGAATTTTTGTCTTAGAATGTTCTACAGAATTTGACAATGAAAGATCATTTGATAATTTTAGGACATCTTGTATAGTCATAGTCCTGTAATCGTAAATAGATATATATCTGTTATACATTTTGTAAATTATTCAAAATACTTGATATCACTCTGGCATATGCTTGGCAAGTTACTACTGAGTACCAAACGCATCCGATCATCATTAAATACTATATAGCCTACATTTGGCGATACGTGATACAACATACAAATGCAGTCCTCTAGATTCTGCATGATCGCTGGATCAAATACTGGTGTTTCCGTCAGATCAGAATGTAATTTCAAGAATGCGACATAAAGTGGATCACAGTGTGCAGCTGCTCTGTATGGAAAATATAGGAGGGTCTTCTTTGCCGTCTAAATAAAAGAATACAAGTTAATATCCTTTTTATTTATTATTATCTCACAACTTAGTATCATATTTTAAGATCTATCGTACCTCCAATGTCGCTTTCAACGTTCTTAAATCTGTATGATGTTCGCAATATTCGGCAAGTATTCGAATAAGTCTTTCGCACCATTTGGCACAGCCCACATTTGTAATAAGTTGAGGTAAACTCAACATGTATGCATGCCGCAGTTCGATATTCTGCTCTAATTCCATGTCGCTTAATAAATTGCTTAACACTGTGTCGCGAGTTGTCCACTACAAAAATGAAGATTATAATAATATTTAAGACTAAGACTTGCAGTTTTCAATAAACTTTTAAATAATTTTACCTCAAACACATTTGATTTATCCCAATGTTCTGTAGTAGCTAGAAGACTGGCGAGGCAAGTATATAAAGGAATAATATATCTGACTTCCTTTTGATGAGTTAAAGGTATTAAAACTTTATAAATTACTCTATCATAGCCAATATCGACCATTTCTTTTTTACTAAAAAAAAATTTAATTAATATAATAATAATATATATATATATATATATATATATATATATATATATATATGTATATGTAGTGTATGTATATATGTGTGAAAAAATAAATTCTTGTTAATAATTACCATATAAGAATGCTGTATAATTTGATAAATACATTCTAAACCTATTAATATATTATCAGGAAAGTAATCATCAAGCATAAATAGCGTAGTAGCCATAACTTCTTCCATGTAATTAAATAAAATTGGTTTCTATAAAAAAGAAAAAAATATGTAATTTATATTTATATATCAATTAAAATGTGGAATGCCATATTAATTATTGATAACCGACATTATTAGATTCAAATATGATGAAAAATAAATAAAATTTGTGAATAATATTACTTGTAATCATGTAACTATAATTAATGTCAACTAATTACTTTCAAATAAAAAGTGCACATGTAAATATATATTTTTATTTTGAATTATGTAAATTTCAATATATATAGATTTATTAAATAATAAAAATCTAAATAAAACTGAACTCACTTGTGCCTCTTGTAAAATCCATTTGTAACATGCTATGGCCGATGGATAAGTTTTCCAAGTATTCTTCAATAACTTGGGTCTCAACATTAGCAACAAATTATGCAGATTATTATTCTCTGACAAGAATTGGGAGATATTTTGATAAACATATAGATCACAGAAATTAGCAAGTAATTCTTTGGAAATAGAGACACACTCGGCCGTATTCCAAATATTTTTCTCATTGTGTTCTCCAATAAGCAGAAATAAATTCATGCCAAATGTTCTAGCCATTCCTGTAGCATTGGCCAACTGCAAGTGCTTTTCTTTACAACTGTTTGAAATATATTGCAGCATAGACCTGACATTTCGCAAGTTTCTCTCTACAACCAGCCTATACTCTCTGAAATCTTTCTCCTCGCATGGACGTTCTGCTCCGATTATTCTTTGTGGTGCAAAACTTTTCTGAATCAAATCTATACACGACATCCATGTGGAATCGTCCTCACAGAAATCACTCCTGATCTTCAGTGCTTCCAATCCCTCTAGCAAATCATCCATTCTTACGGATATCAGGACTAATAAATCAATGATGACGACTGATAGAAGTGTCTCTGTGTCTTCGTAAAATAAATCTTTAAATGTATTTTGGATGGAAGTCACTTCGCGGACCGATCAACCACCTTAGCCGTTTTGAGAACATTCTGATTGACAATTCTGAAGATCGCTGTCGATCGTAGAACTGCTGTTCGGCCGATCTGCGAACATCGTAGGTGGACCACACTGTAAATGCCGTGATGATCGATTTTAATACCGATTTCGTACCGCAGACGATTTTGTTCACCGGGAAATCACGACGATTTCGGTGAGATACATCTATACGTATTCGCGATCTAGAGGGTTATACTTACCGAGACTGAACCGGCTCGGAGATATCTGTCAGGTCGATCGTTCACGGTGAGTACAACGCAACGCAGCTGGAGATACAACGGATGTGAATGCCGAACAGAAGCAAACGCGAAATACGCCGCCCCGGGTTTGCAAGCCGCGAGTCAGGAACTCACGCGAAGAACGCGAAAAAAATCTATATCCCCTGTAAAATTGTTAAAGATACATGGAAAGCACAGCCCGAACGTCGAGTCGAAATCATGATGTATTTATGACATAAGTGGCATACGTTTGTAATTCGTACGATATCTCGCGAATGCCACGATCGATAAGTCGCGACTGCCCGACATACATCCAGTCACGTGGCCGGAATCCTCGTGGCCCTTCATTTGAGATTCGCTATTTTGAAACCAAATTCATTCACTAATTTGGAACCAAATTAAGACTCAGACAATGAATGGGAATAAGGAATAAAGAATTAGATATAAAAAATTATAAAATTATGAAAAATTAGAAAATTATTTTCGATCATTGAAAGAACACTTTGGTATTTGTATCGTTTGTGTATGAAAAACATGAACACTTTTAGATATTGAAATTTAATTCTTCGTCTCTTATTTCTTCTGTATTGTATCTAGATTTTTATAAAGATATAATTTGTTCAAAGAAAGCGCATCGATTTGTAAGAAACGGAAAAATGGACTATGATGTCGTTTGTATCGTAAGGCGCGATATATCGTGGCGAATCGATCGTATATTGGTCGCGCGCGCGTCAACGTGTCGCGGCCATTTTATTCCTCGGTCCGCTTTTCGTTTTTTAACACGAATTTCGGGAGCTCGGTAATTATGAATTAATGACGGCTGCCAGTAGCTGGTAGTTGCGATAATGGCTGAGTACCGTTAGTTGATTTTTTCTTCTCCTCTTTTTGTGTCTCTGTCGGTCGTTGTGTGCGTCTCCGCCGCACGAGCGGAACGCCGTGCCAGGCGACGAGGCGACGCGTGTATGTCGGTGTATGTGCGCGCACGTGCGTGTGTATCCGCTATCCATCTTGTTTCCTTTTCAGACGCCGCCCCTCTGTCATGATCTAATTTTTTTCACTTTTGCACTCCGTGAGAAAGGTGCTAGGTATTCTCCTTATTGAAAATTTACGTATCCTCCTGTGCCCCTGCATTAGAAACGGTTAAAGTGATTCGCTTTGTGAGATCACAATGACTACAGATGTGCTACAGTATATATCCCTGCTTTTGTGTCCCCTTTAATTTATCTAATTTATCTAATTCACCTTATCCCTTTAACACGTACGCTTATTCTCGTAACACGAAGCCAATTTATGTGATTATTATTGTTTTATAATGTCATTTTATAAGTTTTTACACATATAACATTTATATTTTTTTTTACTGCCTGTAAAAAGGATCAGGATCCTATTGTGTGTCGTCTGGAGTGGGCAGTGATTCTGAAGTCATGGCAGAATTAGCGGCACTCTTGCGACATGAAATTCCCGAGGGGAGAAACAACTTGGCTGACAGCCACACAAATCTGGAGCGAGTAGCAGAGTATTGCGAAGCGAATTACTTCCAAGCGGAAAACAAGAGGATTGCATTGGAAGAAACAAAGAATTATACCACGCAGTCTTTAGCCAGCGTTGCATACCAGATAAACACTCTGGCATATAATTTTCTTCAATTATTGGATTTACAGACATCTCAGCTTGCCGAGATGGAGAGTCAGATGAATCATATCGCGCAGACAGTCATGATCCATAAGGAAAAAGTAGCCAGAAGGGAGATAGGCGTCTTAACAGCCAACAAAATGACAACTCGCCAGTACAAAATCATTGCTCCTGCCAATCCTGAGAAGCCAATTAAGTATGTAAGGAAAAGCATTGATTATACGATCTTGGATGACATTGGACATGGTGTACGCAGTTGTGGTACACCGCGAAGCAAGCAGAGGGGAGGTAGTCAGGGCAGCGTTCAGAGTTTAGGTGCTACTTCTACAGGTTCAGGCTTAGGTGCTGCCATGGTAGGACCTGCCCCTACTACCAAACCGCCAACACCACCTCAAACAGTGAGAACTGGTAAGAATTACATATACAAATATATATTATATATACATACAGAATGTTTGGCAAAGTTATAAGTAAAAAATATATTTTTATTTTCGCATCATTTACAAGAACAATCGTCTTATATGCCAAACATGCTGTATGCACAGGGTGTCCCAAGAGCCCCTTGGGACACCCTATGTAGACGCTAAGAATTGTATGAGTGCTACACAAACTTGTAAAGGTGTACTTTTTCAGTTGCGGTTATAAAAAAATTAAAATCATTTCGCTAATGCAAAGGTATTTACTGCTTCTTGCTTGCATGTATGTTTTTTTTTCTTTCAGCTTCTAAATGTTACACCATTCTATCTATTGTATTCGATGTTATATGTGTCTGCTTAATAAAAAAAAATATATATATATATATATATAACAAATAATGACTCGTGACATTGTTTGTGTATAGGAACATTAAGTAAAGGATCGCGTGAGTATAGGACTCCACCAGCAGTACGCCCCAACCACAAGTTCCTAGCC